AAAGAGGACGCAAGGCAGAGGACGTCGAACGACCAAGGAGATGCCACAATCAACGTCATTATCCGATGGCATTGAGCGTGCTTAAACTGTCACCTCAAGGAAGGAAGGATGGCTGGGACATGGCAAAGGAATTTCAATTAAATTTTGAAGCCGATGAAAATATTTGCACATTTATTTTAAGTGCTTAAGTAAATAACACTAAATCTGTTTAATGAAACACAAAGCAGCTTCGTCTAAATTAATCTTGGCAGACAGGACAACCTGGACAACCAGGACAGCCCAGGACATGGGTCAGTTTTACAGTTTTCCGTGTGCGTGTCAGCCTTAATTGGCTTAATACATTAAAAATACGTATGCAAATTTAGCAAGGGCCAAAGGGATCCGACTACGATTTAATAAATCAAAGTAAATTGTGCGTGAAAATTACTAAATTCAAGAGAAAGCTTTACAATCAGCGCCACAAAACGATTCGTTTTTATGATCCCTTATAAACGCGTCCGTCCAGGGGATTACTTTACCGAGGAAAATGTGCTGGATAAACATATACACATACACATTTATATATGTATATTTCTGTACGTTAATTATGAGAAAGTATCTATTGATGTGACTGGCTCGGGGGTCCAACTTCTGGCAAAATCACGTGGCGATAGTTCATTTCCACAGGCATTAAAATGAGCAATGTGCCCCCCGACAGTTGGACACACGGGCATATGGTGCATTCTTTCATCATTTGTGGCTTTCACATAATTACCATTTATTAAGTGACAAAGGAGGGTAGGGAAAATATTTCTCAACAGTGATGTTCAGCTTATTAAGGAAAGTAATTATTATAAAGGGTGACTTTAATACATTTATATTATTTAATATATTTGTTGCTGTTAAAACGAAAATCAGGGTTATACAATTATAAGATTTAGTCTGCCGTTGCATAAGTTTCATATAAATATAGATAAGTACAAAACTTAGAAATAGCATCTTAATTATGTCTATATAATTAATCCTACTATGCATTCTATCTACTTTAAAGCGCTAAGAAATGCAATCGGCTCAAATTGGTGGGCTCTAATGCCTTTCAATTAGCTTGTAATAGAATCTGCGAGCAAATATATCAATTATTGCTATCAATTTCAACAATTAGTCAAATCAAGCAGATTTGCAATTTACGGCTATGGATGTTTATTTGAATTATTTATTCAATGAATGCGGCTTTAATGACAAATGTGATCAATAAAACCAGCTTAACTGTGTGTGTGTATGTATGTGTGCCTGTTTCACATTAAGTGTAAAGTTATTTATGAACGTTTGTTAATGCATATTGCACTAATGACCCTAAAACACATACGATGTGTAACGATTTTAAGGCTCTTAACAGTGTGCAGGCATTTGTAGGAAATGGCCTGGGTTAATGGAATAAAGTTAAATGGAATAGTTTCGCAGCCTAAGCGTTCATTGATTTAAACAAATATTGGCCCAATACATGTGCACATGCCCAGACTCACACGCACACACGCATTAGGCTTGTGGCATAATTGCGAATTGTTAATGAGCGGCTGTAAAATTTCAACAACTGTCATAAACAGAAAGGGACAGAGACTCCGAAATGGTTTGAAGTTGCCCAAGGGTCCAAAGTGCCCTTATCTGCCTCTGCCTCTGTCTCAAACCGTTTCCCATTTCCCATTTTCACTCACATGCCGTTTTCCACATTAGAGTATGTCACTAATTTTATAATGCAAGCCGCAAGACATAAAATCTACAAAGCTAAAGTGCTTGAGAATACAAGTCAAGCATCTGAGGTGTGGCATACATACTGATGGATACAGTGCGTAACATTACTCACAAGGTATGTAGTATTTTTAAATTGATTCAAATTTAAAAAGAACAAAATTGTTGAGAACAAAAAAGACAACTTAAAGACTACTAAAGACTTCTCTGAAGGGGTTTTGTTATAAATCAAGATGATGTAAATAATGATATTAAATATAGAACTGAATATATCACTTTTTGATTTTAAAGAGAAATATTATGAAAATCTTTTTCGTAATTGGAAATAAGGCAATAAATTCTGTAATTAAACAACTCAAAAATAGATGGTTATTAAATAACTAAAGTTAAGTATTTACAAAATGACTTTCAACCTTTTCTCATTTATTAATTTACTATAAAATTAAGTAAAAAGTAGTGTCTGACACCGTTCTATTGTGGTGCTGGTCTCGGTCAGCAATTAGCTTCGTTTTGTGGCTGCTCCTCCTTTGTCTTTGCGGGAATGGATATATCAGGACCTCTCGGAGTGGGTCTTGTCAAATTGCTGCGTTGACAACTGACATGTGTCTACAATCCCGCCTTCTCTGTATCCCTCTTACACACTCCTTCCCTCGCATACTTTCAGGAGAAACGTTAGCTTTATTATAGCCTTTAATTACTGTTGGCCAGTTAGCCAGTTTGCCAGTTGTCACGGCCGGCAAACTTAATACCGCTTTCACTCGCTTGAATTTCAAAACCTTTCGTGTTTACGGCATTTGCTTGTAATTTTATTACATTCCTTTCTCGCTCGCCCCATCCTGCCCGTCGCTTCATAAATAATTAATGCCTTTGAGGTATGTAAACTAACAGGAATCCGGTTATTCAACGGTCGCTATGTACGTGTGTAAGTGTGTGTGTGTGTGTGTGTGTGTCTGAACGAGTGTCTACTTTATGTCCTGTAAATAAATTTGAGTGCGTAAGTGTAATTGTGTTTGCTTTAGTTAACAAGTATAACCTTCCTGCGTATGTATAATGGCTATAAAAGCAAGACTTTCGGGTTAATGGGTGTATCTGGTTAACGCTTGTTAGTGGTCGAAAATACCTCGGGGTTCATCAGGGACAGTTAGAAAATTTGATAGGGCCTATCATAAAAAAAGATTGTTATGTAGATATAATTTGATTGGAATATTAAGAGTTTCGGTTATCAAAGCCTTAGCTCTATGCTAATTAATTCTTAAACGATTAGTCCACATTTTGTGTTAAGGTTAATGACTTCAAAGAACCCTTTAGGACTTTAATACATTTCCTTTCTTAACGCACACTCTAATTAACACCGTGTCAAGCTATAAGACTATTATTCACAATATCAAGCTAGTTGACCATTATGCAATTATTGTTCTTATTAACAATATTTGATGGCAGATCTCAAGCTTGGTATTTTCGCATTGTTTATTGAAGCATTTGCCTCGTGTTAATTAATTTGGAAACTCTTAGACATCAATTTATATTCGATAATTTGTGTACTAAGCTTACATCAATTTAATTGTTCCTAAATCAACAATCAAAGGTTTAATCTTATTCCCAAACAAATCAACCATAAAGCACCTGAAGTCATCTTGTCCGACACTGCTCAAGTTTGAGTTCTTTGATCGGCATTATTGAAGTAATTGGTTTGGATATTTTGCAATAATTCGCATGAGCATCGATCCGATAAGTTGACAGGGGATATTTATGAGAATGGTATGGAATTTAAGTGCACCAACCAGTCGTCGAGGCAGCTTAAATGAGAAGCAGCCGCCGGTGGAGAGGCCACATTGCAACATTGCAGCAGGCGTAAATTGGTGTCTAATAAACACATAATCAAGGTTCATTTGCTGCAGGAGGCACTAAATTGCATTAGCACAAAGGCTGACATGCTTTGCCGGAATAACTCTGCCCCCCAAGCATGAGCTGTAACCCGCACCCAAAACGCACCCATTTTCCCGCCATTCGCCCGCACAGTTTGCAAACTTGTCGACAAATATGTGTGCAAGATATTTGGCCTACGGGCGTGTCGTGCGGCTTGCTCCAGTCTCCGTTCCAGCCCCGAAAATCGGTGACAGTTTAGTTTATGGCCCGTAACAAGTTAAGGCGTATATATCTTAGTTACATTCGAATGCGTTGCAATGACCCCAGGAACTGTAGCAACAAAGGGCGATGTTGTTGTGCAACAGCTGCGGCAAAGTAGATATTCTAATGAGCTTATATGCCTTTGAAACAAATGAGCATCGTCAGAGAACTCAGTGCAAGTAACTGATAATACCGGCACAGATCAAATTTCTCCAGTTAACTAAACAAATGCAAAGGGCTTGATTTACGCAAACAATGACTAAATCCAGAATACTCAAATAATGCCTTTGACAATATGGATTTTAGATATACCTTGCTTTTGGGGAAATATCAGTAAATGTCTGCTTGTTAGTTAGAGAGGATATTCAATTAATCATGAGGCTTTAGCTAACGCTGTATTTAAAACGTTCTAACAGGGCTTTAATTAGTTTTTATATTGATTTTAAGTCCAACCTTATATTTCAGGTTCTAAATTTTCGAATTTAAAACTACAAATCCTAGCAGTAGACATTAATTCACATGAATTTTTTCACTTGCATTTAAAAAATGATAAACAATTCTGTAATTTGTAATTTGGCTACATTGTAAGAATTGATCGATGTTTTGTATGTTATCAATGCATTCAATACCACCCAGATTCGAATTCTTTGACCAAACATTTGCTTCATATATTACATTCCCTGATTCCGATTACATATATTAATAACATACTTTCAATTCCAAAAGAGTTTTAGTTCAAATTCCCCAAAGGCACAGTATGTCAAAACTAAAGTTTCAATCGAAAAGTTGCAGCATCAGAGTGTCCTGTAGCGGTAAATGCAACTTGGATACCTGCCTCGATTTAGCCACCCAATGGCACCGAAAACACCTGGCTGCAATCTAGTGCACCTGCCCACTAATTGCGTTGGGCGTTGGAATGCCGGCTGGTTTGGCAGTCGGACAATGGCATTCGGGTTAGAGGGCTACGCGCTGCAATCACGACCCCATTGTGACCCCTACCCTAAACCAAGAGCTCTCTGTGTTCGGCTTTTAATGTGTCCTTCTGGTGCCACGCCCACTAATTAAGGCAATGGCCCTATCCCGCCCATGTGTTAGTTAATTAATTATCAGCCAGAGCGCGAATGTTAGCCGCTCTTTGTTGTGGGATAGCTAATGCATTATGTTTATTAGAATTCTTCGTCCCATCGGGAGTCGGCACTTAGTCCGAGTCCGAATCGGAGTAAATCAGCCGCTTGGTCTTGTGCTTAACGACGCGCGTCATGGGATCCTCGTCGGAGTCCGACTTTGGGCTGCGGCGGCTCCATGGTGCCTTCTTGGACTTGGAGGTGCTGGTACGCGGCTCGTCGGACATTTCCTCATCGTCACCATCGAGATCGTCATCGTTTATTATATCATTCACATCGCTGTCATAGTCATCTTCTTCGTCCTCGTCACTTGACACCGATCTCATGTGATTTAAATCCAAATTACGGTTGGTGCGTATGCCTTGAGTGTAACTACGCCCGGTTGACGAGGCACTCTCCAGATGGTCTTGTTCCCCGGTTGCCTGCTCCGGATCCGAATCATCTGCCGTGCAATGACGCATGGGCTTTACACGCGGTTTTCTCATGCTCATCTGTATTTCACGACGCTTTTCACGCTCCTCCCTGCGTAGATTGGCTATCTCCTCCTTGGCCCGGCGATCTCGATCTGTTAATGGATTGGCGACCAAATCCGAAAGTACCTTCACAACGCCCGTCTGTGGCTTATTCATGGCTCGATTTCGCAGGCCCTGGACATGGCTCTGACCAAAGGTGGAGTCCAGCTTGGGACGCAGTGTCATCTTATCTTTAATGGATCCCTGGGCTTGATAGCAGTTCTCCAGGCGGACATACAAGTGGTTTTTGTCATCAATCACCTTATGGTGCATCACATCGAAGACCTCGGCGCCCACATGAAAGGTCTCGGAGCCATCGGACCAGCGCACAACCCGAGCATTTGATTCCTTGATCTTATCTTTGTTCTCTCGCCAACGCACTGTTGTCTTCAGGCGATTCAGGAAATCCCCACGGGCTTGCTCGCTCTTTAGATCATCCGATGTCATGCTGTCCTTAAAGGTCTCAGCATCAAAGGCACCAGTTTCCACGGGTATGAACTGAGGCACTCTTAGAAGTTGCAAGGAATCCCCGAGCAGTCCAGCTCCAACTTCAGGTATGGTTACCTTGAACTTCACCGTCAACTTGTCTCCCAATTCTTTCCTTTGTTGATCCTCAAGAGTTTCGGAAATCTTCTCGAAAAGAGATTTTTCTCCATCATTATCGAATCGGATACCCGACAGTTTTGAAACTAAACGTTCATTTTCATCGTCAGAATTGGAGGCGGAAGAGACTTTCTCCAGTTTTGTTTTCTTGGATATTGGTTTCGGGAATGCTTTCATCGATTCATCATCTAAACTTGAGGTTTCAGTGTTTATATCAAAGATTGACGTTCTCTTGGTAATTGGCTTGGACGATGAAGGCATCGGTTTATCCACTGAGAACAAAGCTCCAGTGTTAGGATCGAAATTTGAGTTTCCCTTTAAAGTTGACTTGGGCGATGCTTGCATCGGATCATCCTCTGAGCTCGAGATTCCAGTGTTTGCATCCGAATTGTGCTTTCTCTTGAAAGTTGGGTTCGGTGAATCATTTTCTGAGGACGAAGTTCCAGTGCTTGCGTCGGAGTTGTCAGCGTTTATATTGGAATTTGACTTTTCCTTTGAGATTGGTTTTGGCGTTGACTGGTACGGTTTAGTTTCTGAGATCAAAGTTCCAGTACTAGTAATAAAATTGGACACTTCCTTGGAAATTGGCTTCGGCGATTCATCATCTGAGGACGAAGTTCCAGTGCTTGTATCGGAATCCTCGGAGCTCGATGACTGGCTGCTAGAACCGGAATTGGAAGTACTGGAAGGTTCCTCCTGTATGTGCGGAATCGGAGCGTGTTGCTTTTGTAAGTCATTCTTGTTTACGGTATTAGCCGATGAACGGCGAGTGCGCGAACGACTTCGGTGTGCCGTACCGCGACGTGCAGCTCTTTCAAACTCGCTGGAGGACTCTCTGTCATAACTGAAAAAAAGGTTTGCATAAGAACTTCAAGTGCATTAGAATACCAAACAAAAACTTACCCAATATCGGAGCCACTAGAACTTTCATCGTCCTCTATAATGGAAATCTATATTAGCATGGCTTAAACGTTTTATTCCTTTTTGTACAAACCATTTGGATTCAGGTTATAGCGGTGGACACTTGGATCGACCATTGTAGCAGCTGCGTAGCTCTTATTGAACAAGTTAATTACGAAAGTTTGTAACACTTCACTCACTTATTAAATGTACGAAAAGTGACAGAAAAATGCAGTGTCACCTTCTATCGATTTACCGATAACAAACACGACGTACTCTCCTTTAAAGCGATGTTTTGCACAGTTCTAATTGAAAATCAGAGTTGTTGAGAGTAGGGTGTCCACCTTTTATTTGACAACTTACAATTATTTTATTTTGACTATTGACAAAAAAATAATCGTTTTAATTTAATATTAAACCGACAGCGCTGAGGACCGCTTTTTCGTCCCTCTCCACTCGTTGGCAATAAAACATACATTGGGATTTCCCACTTGTCACCGACTCTTGACGATATGGTCCCGGCCCCCTTGCCATATGGACGTAAGCTCAGTGCTTTTTGCATTTAAATATTTTTATGAGTTCTCGATTAATTAAAACTCAACAACAAGCTCAACGGCTGCCGGACGGCACCTGGCCACCGGGTCGGCAGCTCGAAATGCATATTGCATATTATCCGGAGAAGAGGATGTCAACTCGAAGGTCGGGGGGAACATGGACGTTGCCGGACGACAACCCACTGGCGAATGCAGACATCAAATGATTTATTCATAAATTGGGTATATACGCTAAGGGCATGAAAAATGCTTGTAAGCCGCAAATAATTATTGACAATAAGTCGGCGGTAATGAGGTTGCCGTGGCAGTAGTAAAACCTGAACCTGTCGTTAAAGATTTTCAGCGTAAATTAATAAATGGCGAATTAAATGAAAGTGCTGAGTAGTTGACATCCTTATAGGGGTGAAATAATTGCCTGTCAACTGCTTTACATTTAACTTGGACCAAAGCGTCGAAAGGTGTTTCGATGAGTGTAAAACTGTTTAACGGGCTTCAGATGAAGCTTATTATTTAATATATATAAGTATATATTAATTAAAATAATAATCTTAAGTCTGGTCAACTTTTAAAGGAAAATTTAATGCCAGACAAAGTAAAGAATTTAGCTTACCAAACTTATGAATTGAGAAATACATCAACTATGAATGTATATATGAAATATATACATTTGTCAAGCAAATATTATTCTAAGTTGGGCTGTTCTCTCCATCACAACTAAATAAACCCGCTCCAAAATTTATTTTTTCAGTTTCGAATTTCTGAGAATATCAAATTATATACCAAAAAAATTAAGTTATGGACTATAGCGGCGTTGAAGTACCCGGCATATTATCTCCAGATGTAAGACTTCATATTGACTAACTTTTCCGAAATATGTGAGTTATAATTAAATTTTTCTTCGTTTTTTTCCAGGAAAACATCGAACATTTTGCTAAACTCTATGGTAATGACAGTCTTGGAATGATGTTAATGGCTTCCACAATCGGCAATTCAGGCGATCTGCCAGGTAAGCCGCGATTTAATGAAAGTGATACTTCCGAATACCTTCCAAGCACGAAACGCCCGACTTATGACGATCAAAGTTTTCAGACGAGTTTCCGAAATGGTTTACAGTGAGTATACTAATAACACTTGAAGCATGATAATCATAATAGAGGAGTTTTGTACGTCCCAGGACCTCCTGCGAATCTAGGACCATGAGACATGGTAAGCATTATAATCCGCCGCCAGCAATGGAGGCCCATTACCCCAGATATTCACATCACAAAAAGTGTTTCGAATTTCTCGGGGCTTCCCAGGCCTCAAGATCCATAAGACATAGGGGCTATGGTGACCATTATTGTCTGCCGACAGCAATGGAGCACCGTAACCCCAGATCCTCACAACAGCAAAACGGTTTCGCACCACCTAGTACTTCCCTAGGCTCAAGGTCCATGAGACATGGGAGTTTTGGTGACCATTATCATCGGCAGCAAGAAAGACAGTTTCCACCACTACCGAGATATGCATGGCTTTAAAAAAAGAGAAGATTTATTCGCCCCATCTTCTGATGCATTGACTTAGCTACTATTAGCATACTTTTTGTAAATATCGAGTTGGTTCGTAATGGTTTGTAAATGCAACCGTGCTGACTCCCAAAATTATGAATAAATTGTTCTTTTCCGTTATTATTCCATTAGGATTTTGAAATTTATACGCAAATTAAATGATGCTCGAAGTTTCTGGTTATGAGATACAAGCGCAAGCAGAAAAATGAAAAACGGCTTAAACTGTTTAAAATAATTTCCACAAAACTTTTCACCAAACAGAGAAGGGGAAAAGACCGAAAGAGGAAGGGAGCCGGTTTCGTTTGTATATTTTTTTTCTGTTTGTTTGGTAGCTCTCAACTGCACCATTCAAGTTTGTTAAACATTAAAACGGAACGGCAACAGAAAAACGCTAACTAAACGCGAGCAGACGGCAAACAAAGCATCCAGCGCCATTGGATGGTGTATGTGTTTGGGGAAAAACTAATACAAACAGTCTTCAACCCACACACTGGCATTGCCTTCCAGGCGTAGTGCAAAATAAACCAAAAGCAAAAATAAATATTAAAATTTGTGCAATAAAATGCTGAGCAATAAAACTAAAATAAGTGGGAGGATAACCGAAAATAAAAAAAAGTAGAAAACCAAACGAATCTAAATGGAAAGCAAAAGAAAAGTTGTAGCCAACAGCCGGCGAGTGTGTTAGTGTTTTCTTATAGACCACCAGCGGAAGTGGCAAGCGCCTCAAGTTGCGAAACACTCGTACATGCACACACACACATAGCCTCCACCCTACACTACCACCACCCACTGCACCACCACTTACTGCCTGTCTGTCTGTCTGCCCCACCAGCCCGTGTTGAAAACCACCCAGGGAGCAGGCGAGGGGTGCCGGCAGACGGTTAGTTTATCGCGCTTACGAAATCTGCGGAACCGGCAGGATGTGGAAGGCATAGGGGCACGGCACAAGTAATACAAAGTATATGAAAATAAAGAATCCAGATTGGGGAGGCCAGGCAAGGAATCGCCGAGAGAAATGCTGTAAAAATAAGTTTAATATATCCGCATTAAGATTGCCCAAGATTACAGCTCCCGGAGCTCGCACATCCTTAGTGATGCCTACCCTTTTGGCTTGCAAAACAAATCTATTTAGTGTAAAAACAAGTAAAGGCAATTCAAAAGAAATTTTAGATAAGCTTAAAATGTAAAGAAAGTTTTTAGAATTTTTAATTTGAGTTCAGTAAAATATTTAATGAAGTATTAATTAAAGAAAAATCCATAGATTTACAAAAAACCCCAATTTAAATACTAAAAAAGGACACACAAATACTAAATATTTATATTAATCCAATACCAAGAAAAAAAAAGCTAGATTCTAAGAAATAGCTAATTCGGCCACACTTGCCACTGCAAGATGGCGTCTGTCGATGGCGGAATTCACTTTGCGGTTGACTTTCGCCTTAAAGTATGCATCTCTTTCCTGCACTTTTTTTGGCCCAGCAAAGCAAGGCAAACATCACGACCGTGGCAAGCAAGAAGCCAAAGCGAGCATGTGATGTGAGGGAGAGAAAAACAAGAGGGAAAATCGAAGCCAGGAACAGAGAGGATAAATGGAGAATGGTGGCTGCCACCAAGTAAGGGGAAAACAACACCTGCCAGCGACAGTCGGAAGAGGGCGGGAATGTGTTGTGCGGACTGTTTTCGGTTGCCGCTCCCGCTTGGAATTCAATAAAGTGCCGCAAATGATTACTGCATAAAAGAAATGTGCAATCCGGTTTGCCAGTGTTTTTGCAGCTTATGCATCCGGCAGCATTTACTCTATAGGGAATTGTGGAAGAAGATTAAAGTTATGTATAAACAGAGGCGGGCAAAACAATAGCACAGCAAATAATAATATTTAAATATATATTTTCACTATACATTCTTATTGTAGTCATCCTCCTACAATTCAACATATATCTAAACAAAAAATTAAAGCCAAAAATTAAGAAAACCATCCAAATATTCTGATTAAAAATAAAAAACAAATCAAAATTCAGCTGAAAATATGTACCATTTTTCCAAAACCCGTGCCAATTATTGAAAGGGAATAATCCCTAACCCAAATTAGGTGCTCGATGCTATAATTACAACTATATCTGTATTTGTATACACGGAGGAGTACGCAAATGACGAATAGCTATGCAGCTGTAATAAAAATAAGATTATTCCATCAGGACTGAAATTGATTTTCCTACTTTTTCCTGGGACAACTAAGAAATCGATGATGTGATGTGTATGATGATGTGTAACTACAAAAATTTTCCACGTTTTTCAGTTTCCCGTCGTTCACCTTGAAGGTTGGCCGAGATAACCAAGCGGAACTGTGGCCTTTTTCCACTTTGTTTGGTGGCTGCTCGCCCAGTTAGATGACTATCAACGCCCTCGACAGGCAGACGAGCGCACATCTCGGTGCACAGAGAAAAAATATTCTACTACAAGTAATTTAATTTAGTTATATTTATTTTCAAAAGGTAATAAAAAATTAGTAGACTTTAAAAAAGTAGGATATGGGATATGCTTTTGTATTCCAACATAAAATGTATTTAAAATAACACTCCATGCTCCAAGTCCTAACAAGTTTTTTTACAAAACATAAATTTAATGGCATCACAAGACTGGATTTATGCTGTTATATTCGAATATTCGAATAGACTCATGTATATTTTTTGTCGGTGCTGAATTTGAACCAATGTCACAGCAAATTCAACGGAAAAGCGTCAACTTAATGGTCCACAAATGCTGTAGTGCCCGCCATGTTTCTGGTGGCCCTGATGTTGCTGCTGCTGCAGCGTTCATGTTGCCGGCGTGTCAGCATTAGTCAATGCTCGAGGGCCGGGGGTGGCTGAAATGATTTTATGTTTGGCTTGAAGCATTGCAGCAGCCGCGACAACGACAACGGTAACGGTGGCGACACCGACAACAACCAATAGCAATGTGGCTGGTGACAGCAATGGCGCAAGCCAACAAACATGCAACAATAAAGTTTTATGAAACAACGGCAACTACTAGAAAAGTGCTATGCGCCTGTTGTTCTCACTGTTGTTGCAGCAGTTGTTGCTGCTGCTGCTGTTGTTGCAGCATTTGTTGCTGCTACTGCTGCTGCTGCACCTGACGTTGCGTTGAACTCATCTCCGACGTCGCATCTCTGCCGCCGTCGTTGCTTTCGGCTATTTCCGTCAGCGAGCGCACTTAGTGCCACGCAGTCATACAGACATGGATACACTAATGCACTTAAAGAATTACTCATTAACTTGATTAACTATTTTGTGTGATTTTGTAATAATTTATAGTTAGTTTAAAAAATGTTTTATCATTAGAAAATATATACTTATTATACCCAAGCTTCTCTAATATTCAATATGTCACCAGAGGAGTCGATGTAGCCATGACAAAAAGTGGACATAATGAATAAGATGCATAACACCACATGGTTTTTAAGATTCGAAAGCTGTTCATATGTCTGTCATAAAATGTTTACAGGAAAATCATAACTATTCCTACTCCAATTTAAAGCTCCTACAATTTATTTCAGTGTATAAAATGCAAACTGCAGACGAGACGCGCATGCAAACTTTACAGTTAATGACGCAACTGTGGCGTGTTTGTAAAGTGTTGAAATTGAAATTATACCTTAGGGGCTTTCGCTGTTGTTGCCATTGTTTTTGTTGCTCACTCCTATTGCTCCTATTTTGTTGTTTCGGATGGTGTTGTTGTTGCTTTTACTTGGCTCTATGCACAAAATGCATTCAAGTGTAGTTGCGTCAATGTTTGTCGTTGTTGTTTTTGTTGTTGCCGGGCGAAAAACAATAGCAACAACAATGTTAATGAAAACAAACATTACCGAGAACAGCACACAGGGCATGGCATGGGGGAAGGGGGATGGAAAGGTGAAGGGATCGCAGCTGAATAGAGGCAACAGCGGCGCCCAACAGCAGCAGAACAACAAAACAGCAAAACGCCCTTAACCAAATTGCCAAAGCAAAGACATTAGCCCTCCTCTCCCAGAGACTTTGTAAAGTTTCACCAGCAGCACTGGCATCAGCAGCTAATGCATATATGAAGGCAATTCCAGTTTTGGCCCCTGCTTAATTAAGTTATGAAAAGTTCAATATTGAGTGAATAAAATATAACAGCACTATGGAAAAATGTTGGAAAAGTTCATCATTTATATAGGGTTAAGGTAAAAAGAATAGAAAGATTGTATTGTTGGAAAATATGCAAAACTTTTAATTGAAATTACGTATACGTAATGCGTATACGCAATCTATCCTATTTTAAGTTCAAGGAAAAAGTATAGAGAAGTCCGCAAATATTCCAATGATAGAAATAAGGTATATTATCTTGAACTTACCCACATGAATGTTATGATTTTCAATAAGTCGTATTATTAAAATTATAGGCACAAGCACACAATCCATCGACTTGTCTAAAAAAGACTGAATGAAATTGTATGAATAGTAAAAACCTTATAGTTATCTCCACCTCGTAATGTAGTTAATTGTTAATTTAAATTTAATTAACTTAGGAAAATGTTCCAAACTTATAATCGAAATTACGTATACGTAATGTGTATACGCAATCTATCCTATGTTCAGCTTAAATAAAAACTATAATGAAGTCCCCAAATATTCCAATGATTAAAATAAGATATATTATCTTGAACTTACCCAAATGATGATTTAATCCATAAGTCGTATTATTATATTTACAGGCACAAGGACACAATCCATGGACTTGTCTAAAAAAGACTAAATTAAATCGTAGATTTAGTAAATAACTTATAGGTAACTCCTCTCTTTTCATGTTAATATTTGTTAATTAAAATTCAATTGACCAATAGACAAAAGACAGTTACATTTGCAATATACCAAGCAGCATCTGTTGCAAACTTTATATACCCCAGCCTGGACTCTTCTTTTAGGAACAAAAAAAAAAAAAAAGTTTCAGTCATTTAATTAAGTTCAAATAAAATTGGCATTCAATTTGCCTTCGCTCCGCGATTCGTATTCATTGTCTGCGCAATGCCGTGGACATCATTTAAGTACACTAATACCGATTTACGAGGCTCCCCCCTACATCTATGGAGAACGCCCCGGCCATAA